CTAGAGAACCCTTTGCTATATATACCTGAATAAAAATCCTAGCTCCCAAGAGGGTAGACGTTAAAAAAAAAAAAAAAAAAAACAAAGTTTATAGTAAAATTTATCAAAAAATTTAGATTATTAATAAAATTTTAAGATATAATCAAATTTTAATATTTTGCTTTGTTTTTATTATATAAAAAAAGTAATCTGTATATAATTTGCAAATTGTATATAATTTTAGATTTTTATTAGTTTTACTATTAATTTTGTATAACTACATATATGTATATACACTATATATATAGTATACAAATAGAAATTCTCAAATATATTTTAGCAGTAATTATTTAAATTAATTTATAATACTGTATTTACATATTTACTAAATTTAAGTGATTAAATAAATAAATAATCGTGTTGTATATAATGTAGGCGCAGTATATTGCATATGCACCAAATTATAAAAATCTTTATTTAAAATAAAGTTTTTGCTAAAAATTTTTTTATTTTATGGTAACTCAAAGTTTATTTGAACAATAATTCGACCAAGTATTTGTTATCAGTTAATTGATTTGTATAATTGGCTACAAATAACAGGACATAACCTTGAATTTAAAATTTTACACTTTTTGAAAAAGAATAAAAATATTTAACATTGTTGTCTGTCTATATCGCTAACTTATTATTTTAGATTAATAAATAACTAAGAATTTCGATATGCACCCCACAATTCACAATTCACACGATACATTTTTTTTGTGTGAATCCAAGGTAATCATATAACTATTTCATCAAGTAATCAGTGCTTAATAAGCTATATATAAGCATAAAGAAAGTCAGGATCAACACCAATTAAATGTCTACATCAATGACGACAGAAAGCCAAATAAGGAAGAAATTCATTGTTATAACGAATGAGGAGCCAAGTGAATGATTTAAGGAAATGAGAGTATTCATAAATTTTCTTTTTAGAAAGCACAACTTCATTCGTAATAATCAACGAAATGAATGAATGATACGTATAAACGCAAAAAAGGAAGGCCAATATCCAACATATGATACACCACAATCGATTTTTCTTGGATCCTCTAAAGTCTCCATTGTATCAGAATAAAGAATGGATTTAGCTATAAATAGAAATGTGGATTATATATGATTACACCACTAGAGATAAATATTTATCATGTGAATAAACCATGGTTCTATTAAGGTGTACGCATTTATATGAAGAATTATTTTATTTTTATTATGGAGTATAAAATAAATAAAATAATAATGAAGACGGATTAATTACCAATCGATCTAAGACGCATTCATCATTTAATCGTGAGAAAGAAATTGAACTTTGTTAAACGGTCGTGAGAATGGAACATGTTATTAAAATGGATTGTAAAAATATATTTTAGTACATCAGGTCATCTCTAATCGATTGATTTTTCAGATGCATTAACGTTAGTAAAAACGCCCGGTTGGTTCTTTTGATATTTATAGGATATTATAGTAGAGATTATAAAGATAACGATAATAGATAAGAACATAATACCTAAAATAAAGCACAATCATGGATCCCGATTCTAACAATATATTAACAATATAAATAATCGATCCAATACATGCTTAAGTCAGAAATAAAAGAAATTGTAAAAAAAAAAAATATATTTAAGAGGAAAAAAAATGTCGACACTTAATTTTTTTTTCTTACATGATATGTTGATATCCATAATTATTATGATACGTATTATCAATTTCAAACGATTTATAATCACCCAAATTTATTAAAGTGCATTCAAATTCAAAAATAATTTTAAAATAATTTTACAATTTAGATTTTTCTCAAACGATTATAAATATTCACCCATTTCTTTTTCTTAAACTCTTTCGTACTTCGTACTCCACTACCTACAACAAATCATAAAAGATGCTTGTAATCTTAAGATACATTGCCTGCCTTTTAATAGCACCAATTGCTTTTATTATCATAATTGATTTTGCATATTTTGCAATTGGATCTGCTTTAAATTCTATTATAAAAATCGTAAGACGAATCGAAGAACATTCTAGGAGAAAGATTGATAATGTTCAGTCTACTGCGATAAAAGAAGCCATCCTTAAGTAAAGAACCTTTGGATTGTAAGTATTTTTGATTTTCTTCCAAATTAGATTATTTGAAAATATTAAAATTGATTCTCAAAATTTATTTTATAGTTTATTTCTGTTGAACAAATATGAAATATTAAAAATGGTTATAAATTATGTTGATTGTGTGATAGTTTTTATCAAACGTCTACATACAAAGTGTCTACCAAGTATAACATGTGGCTATTATTAGTTCTTTTTTTTTTTTTTTT